CACGCACACACTCACGCACGCAGATACAAGCACGCGCGTGCACGCACATACGCGCACACGTACGAACGCACGCATGCCCATTGTTTGGCGTTAATGTCATTGACGTGATGTGCATCCAGTTAAAGAATTAGATTATGCTCTGAAGTTTGCATTTCGGTTTTGCGAAATTTACAGTAACGATGAGAGGTTCCAGGAAACCAGTATTTACAGTTGATAAAACACCCTAAGCCACTGTTGCATGTAGATTACATCATTATAGATTACCCGGTGGTAGAACCAAGACAATGCCATATATGTATATACACACACCTGCGCGCGCGCGCACACACACTCACACACACACACACACACACACACACATCCTGCGTTTTTTCTCTACGTCCCCTTTCTCTACGCCTGTCTCTGCGTAAATCTCTATTAAATATATATATATATATATGCAACAGTATATACCGTGACGGGCGTAAAAGCGCCTATATATACCATTAATTATTTTCAGGGTTTTTTATTTGATGCCATATAGGCCTACATGTTAAAGTGCGTTCACGAAGAGACATTCACTTATCTTTCCGCACGTAGGCCTCGCTGTGAGTAGCTGCCAACACGCACGTACACACGAAGCGTTCTCATGCGCAGTCTTTTACAAAGAGTAATGCCGCAGGTAACGCAGCTAATGTATCGACGTAGGCACTACAAACGTGCGATACTACCCACTATTAAACACCGTGTATTATGACCAGTGCATCTCTCTATATGTCTCTCATCGTAGCTCCAATTACGATAGAGTGGAACACAAGCGCCTCTGGCGGTGAGACAGACCATTATGCCTCTGAGCCAAGATGCAATGTATAGCGAGTAAATCTAATAACAGGCGGGTCTGTATGAAAAAAAAAACTAGCGTATAAATCGATATCATGTGGCGTACGAATCGATGATACCTGAGCAGGAAGCAGGCATGGTCGCTTACTCACACACGAACGTAGCGTGACAACACGCACACCTCAAACAATAGTTAACTTAATCCGCACATCTGTGTACTATCTATTTTTGACATCACCACCTTCCACCCCTTACCAAGGAACGTATGCCTTGTTGCTGTTCAAAGATGTTATTTTATTCTGTTATTATTATTATTATCATCACCGTCATCATCACCGTCATATCTTCATTAATCCTTGTTATTGGCGTGCCACTGTTGCTATCGTTATTTTTGTTAAAAATTCTTCCGCGCAAGCTCGGATCACAGCCGCCAACCGTCTCACACAGGCGGCGTGACAGCGGCTGCTGCAGAGAGCAGCGGCTGCTGCAGAGAGCAGCAGCAGCAGCCCAGAGCAGCCGCCCGCGGAAAACACGCCGCCAAGCCGATGATTAGGCAATCGCGTTATGGGAACGGGGGTGGTCACGCGACGTCACGCGATGCGTTATCTGTGTTACGCAGAGGTGCAGTCGTTCAGTAGCTTGTTATTCGGCTGCCGTCTTTAATTGTAACGAGATTCGCAGCGTGAAGCATGATGGAAAACGTCTGCTGCTGCCGTGTCGCCGAGAAAAACACCATTAGGTTTCTCTCTTTCTATCTATCTGTTCTTTCTTGCTCTCTCGCTCGCTCTCAACGCACATACTCATCCTCTGTCTCTAACTCTCTCTCTCTCTCTCTCTCTCTCTCTCCTCTCGATCTCTCTCGCTCTCTTCTTTATCTCTCTTCTTGCTCTCTCTTTTGTTTTCTCGTCTCTTCTCTATCTCTCGTCTCTCTATCTCTTTCTCTATACTCTCTCCCTCTATTCTCTCTCTCTCTCTGTCTCTCTCTCTCTCTTCTCAGTCTCTCTCTTCTCCTCTACTCTCTCTCGCTCTCTCTCTCTCTCTCTATATATATATAGTTGTTCAGCCGAATTTGTGTGTTCGCGCATAACTAGAGAACTCCGCAGCCTAGAGGAAAACTAAATATATTTTCAGAATCAGCACGTCTGGGAGGGAAACAAAATTTCAAAAAAGTTAAAAAGTTAAAAATTTATAAGAATTCTATTCATCAATAGATGTATAGACGTACATTTTAACATTATACATCACGTACGTGTGAATCCATGGTGTATAACCATAACGGACCAGAACTGTACATAACGGACATAACGGACCAGACAGACTTTCCACTGTAGCCGAATGGATAAAGCATCAGACTCCTAAACCATTGATTCTGGGTTCGAATCCCACCTCGGGAAATGCTTTGTTTCTTTACTTTTGGACTGTTTAGTATGTACTTCTGCCGTATTCACTGTTAATTTCAAAATTTTCAAAATTTTTTGTTACCACATTTAAATGTTTAGTAAAAATCAAGAATAAACTATGGTAGATGATAATGATTGCGCAAACTGACGGGAACACTTCACGGAAGCCTATGTAGGTTACATATTAAATATTATTATATTTTCTATATAATTTCATTTTTCATTTATAAGTTTTGACTTTTATATTTTAATGACTTTTATCTTTTGATTTCTTATTATTTTTTACTGTTGGGATGGGATGGGATGGGATGGCATGCGATGGAATGGGATGGGATGGGATGGAATGGCATAGCACGGGATGGTATGGGATAGGATGGGATGGGATGGGATGGGATGCGGTGCGATGGGATGGGATGGTATGGCATGGCATGGCCTGGGATGCGATGAGATGGGATGGGATGGGATGGGATGGGATATG